CACGGGTTTATTACGAATCAACTTAACGGCCTGCTCCCAGTTGGCTTGTTAGCTCAATTGGTAGAGCGCTGCACTAGTATCGCAGAGGTCAGTGGTTGGAATCCCGTACAGGCCTGATTTTTTTCAGATCTGATTTTCGCTATTGCATAAATAGCGCTCTCTACTGCGAGGATCGCGCATCCTACATATTTTTACGTGTTCCGGCGATCTTTGTATTTGGTGCAGCTGCCTCCCTGACTGATGTGAAAAATATTCGTTAGTATTAATATTCGTCTTAGACATCTGCATTAAAAAAATCTACAGTTTTGTTTTGGGTTTAAGTCCACAGGATTTCTCACTTTTACTAATGCAATGGTAACAACTCACTGTGCTGATATAAAACACATTTTTAATCTCTTTATTTCTGGAACTCTTTCAAGTTCGTCTGCACCAAGAAATCAAAGAGTGAATAATAGAAGCTTCCTTTTTCAGCTTGCCCATCATCTAGAGAATCCATTAATTCTTCTAGTGGTCACATTTCCAGCCCCAATTTCCCTAGAAACTTGTACCTGGAATATCACGGTACCCGTTGGCAAGTTCATGAAACTGACCTTCTTAAACTTTACCACTGTCAGAAATGAAACCGAGAACTGTACTGGAGCGGCGCCATCGAGCGCCCCAGGTTTTATTACAAACGTTGCTTCACATCAAGGAGAAACAAATGACTTTCAGCTTTGTAGTCAAAAGCTTTCCGACCCTTTCTACTCCAAGGGAAACTTCATTCAAGTGCAATTTGAATCCCGCACCGGTCCTGTAGACAAGGGGTTCAATGCAACATTTGAGGCGATAGATGGAGATTCGCATCAGTGCTTTTTAACTTTAATGATATCAAGAAAGTATGGCAACGGCCTAGCCCTTGCATAAGTGTAATGCGTGACAAACGGCCTTCATACTTCTAGGATGTTCAATACCCATAATGAGTGTGCAGCAAAGTTATTAGAAAGTAGGTATTAGCTTTAATATGAGTTTAAACTGAGGGTCTGTCATCGCCCAAATGGAGGTTCTTCGTACCTTCTGACATTGTTGCAGGCTAAAGAAACTCAAATTCATAGCAACTTACAACTTCTATTTCCAAAAGTGAAATTAATCCAAACCTTTCTTCCAATGCCACAATAATTGCGTCATCAATCGTTTATTCTATTTTCACCTGTTTGACAGCATTTTCCAGTGCCACACTGAGTTCAAGTAGCAGCAGCTCCACTGTCTCACTAAAGTCAAGTGGCGACAGCTCTATTGTCGCACGGAGTTCAAGTAACAGCATTTCCATTGTTCAACTGAGTTCAAGTAGCAGCAACTCTAAAGTCCCACCAAGTTCACATAACAGCAGCTCTAGTGTCGCACTGAGTTTAAATAGAACCAGCTCCACTGTCCTACAAACGTTTAGCAGGAGCAGCTATATTTTCACGCTCAGCTTAAGTAGCAGCAGCTCTATTGTTACACTGAGTTCAAGTAGAAGCAGCTCCATTGTCGCATTGCCTTCACTTAGCAGTAGCTCCAGGGCCTCACCAAGTTCAAGTAGCAGGAGCCCTCCTGTTGCCATGAGTTCAGGTAGCAGCAGCTCCATTTTTACACTTCTTAAGAGGCGTACAAAATGAATTAGGTCTACAGTGTCGAGTCGTTTTCATCAAAGTCGAGTAGAAATATAGTCATTCGAATGAAAGCAAAAGTTCCTTGTTTTTTTTTTGCATCCATATGGAACTAAGACGAGTTTAAGCGTTTTAAAAGCACAGAAAAAGAAATGTTTATCAATAGAAGCTCATAGTTCAAAACTAGGCTTAGAATTCCCTTTGGTCTCACCTAGAAACCATCGCAGTTCACAAGTTCTAACAATACTAAATGGGAGCTTGTTTTCCTCTTTTCCCCAGATGACCTCGACCTTGTTAATGTTTGGGATAAAATGTTGCTATAGGCCTTAAGTTAAGTAATGTTTTCATATGTCCGTTCTTTGTGTTTCTTGCAGCTGCCACCCCAATTCAAGTGAAAAATGATCGTAAGTATTAAACTTTCGTTTTAGATGTCTGCATATAGAAAAATCTACAGTTTTGTTTTGTGTTTAAGTCTACACGATTTCTCATTTCTACTATGGTAATAGTGATAATTTACTGTCCCAGTATGAGGCATATTTTAATCTCTTTATTTCTGGAACTCTTTCAAGTTCGTCTGCATCAAGAAATCAAAGAGTGAATAATAACTTCTTCCTTTTTCAGCTTGCACATCTCCTGGAGAATCCATTAATGCTTCTAGTGGTCACATTTCCAGCCCCAATTTTCCCAGAAACTATACCGCAAACAACACTTGTATCTGGAATGTCACGGTACCCATTGGCAAGATCATAAAACTGACCTTCTTGAACTTTACCCTTGTAATAAATGAAACTGAGAACTGTACTGGAGCGGCACCATCGAGCGCCCGAGTTTTTATTACAAACGTTGCTTCACATCAAGGAGATCCAAATGACTTTCAGCTTTGTGGTCAAAAGCCTTCCGACCCTGTATACTCTGAGGGAAATTTCATTCAAGTGAGATTTGAATCCCGCACCGGCCCTGTAAACAAAGGGTTCAATGCAACATTTCAGGCGATAGATGGAAATTCACGTAAGTACTTTTTAACTTTAATGGTATAAAAGAGCTATGGCAACGGCCTAGCCCGTGCATACATGTAAACTGTGACAAACGGCCCTCATACTTCTAGGATGTTTAATTTCCATAATGGGTGTGCAGCGAAGATTTTAGAAAGTAGATTATTAACTTAAATATGAGTTTCAAATGAAGGGCTGTCATCTTCCAAATGGAGGTTATTCGTACCTTCTGACATTGTTAAAGGGTAAACAGACTCAAATGCATGACAACTAACAACTTCTATTCCCAAAATTGAAATGAATCCAAACCCCATCTTCCATGCCATCAATAATTGCCTTATCAACTCTTTCTTATTGTCATCCGCTTGACAGCATTTTCCATTGTCTCACTGAGTTCAAATAACCGCAGCTCCAGTGTCTCCGAGAGTGCGATAAAAAGCAACTCCATCGTTTCACCAAGTTCAAGTAGCATAAGCTTCAGTGTTTCACAGAGTTTACAGGTCAGCGTTTCACTGAGTTCAAGTAGCAGCAGCTCTAGTGTCTCACCAAGTTTGAACAGCGGTAGCTCCAGTTTATCATTAACTTCACCAAGCAGCACCTTTATTATCTCACGGACTACAAGAAGCAACAGCTCAACTTTCCCACTAAGTTTAAGTGGGAACAGCTCAATTGTCTCACAGAGCTCCGGTAGCAGCAGTTCCAGTGTTTCACCAGGTTCAGGTAGCAGTAGCTCTACTTTTTCACAAAGTTCAAGCAGCAGCAGCACCTCCATTAACGTACTGAGTATAAGTAGCAGCAGCTCCAAAGTCAAACTTAGTTCAAGTAGCAGCAGCTCCACTGTCTCACCAAGTTCATACAGTGGCAGCTCCATTATTGCTCTGAAATCGAAAAGCAGCAGTTCCATCGTCACAAAAGGTTTAAGTAGCATCGGCCTTGGTGTCCCACTCATTTCAAGTAACAGAACCAATGCCATTGTCTCACAGAGTTCAAATAGCACCAGCTCCATCGTCACACTAGGTTCAAGTAGTACCAGCTTTAGTGTCTTACCAGTTACAAGTAGGCGCATCACCATTGTCTCACAGAGTTCAAGTGGAAGCAGATCTACTGTCCATCAGATTTCAGAAAGTGGTAGTGCCAATATCTCACTGACTTCAAGTAGCAGCAGCTCTACTGTCTCACAAAGTCCAGGTAGCAGCAGTTCCAGTATCACGCTCATTTCAAGTAGCAGTAGCTTCATTGCTTTTGTCTTACAGAGATTAAGTAGCAGTAGCTTGATTGTCTCAACGAGTTCAGTAAGCAGCAGTTCCATTGTTGTGCTGGGTTCGAGTAGCAGCAGCTCCATTGTTGCACTAAGATTGAGCAGCAGCAGCGCCATTGTCGCACAGAGTTCAAGCAGCAGCAGATCTAGTGTTTCATCAAGTTCAAGTAGCAACAGCACTCCTCTTACTCTGATTTCAAGTAGCAGAAGCTCCATTGTTACACTGAGCTCAAGTAGCACCAGCTCCACTGTCTCACTAACGTCAAGTAGCAACAACTCTATTGTTGCACTGAGTGCAAGTAGCCGCAGTTCTATTGTTGCACCTAGTTCAAGTAGCAGCAGCTCTCATGTTGCACTTAGTTCAAGTAGCAGCAGTTCCATTGCCGCACCGAGTTCAGTTAGCAGCAGCTCTAGTGTCTCACTAGGTTCAAGAAGAAGCAGCCCCTCTGTTGCCTTGAGTTCGATTGGCAGCAGCTCCACTCTCTCACGTAGCAGCAGCTCTAGTTTCGCACTGAGTTCAATTAGCGGCAGCTCTAAGGTCTCACCAAGTTCAGTTACCGGCAGCTCTCCTGTTGCGCTAAGTTCAAGAAGCAGCAGCTCCATTGCTACACCGAGTCTAAGTAACGATAGTTTTATTGTCTTACAGAGTTCAAGTAGCAGTAGCTTTATTTTCTTAACAAGTTCAAGTGGCAGCAACTCCATTCTTACACTGAGCTCGACTAGCAGCAGCTCTGTTATCGCATTCAGTTCAAGTAGCAGCAGCTCCATTTTCGCACTGGGTTCAAGTGGCAGCAGCTCAAATATCGCACTGAGTTCAAACAGCAGCCATTCCTTTGTCACACTGAGTGAAATTACCAGCACCTACAGTGTCTCACCAACGTCTACTAGCAACAGCATTCCTGTTGTCCTGATTTCAAGTAACAGCAACTCCATTGTTGCACTGAGTTCAAGTAGCAGCAGCTCTAGTGATTTACTAAGCTCAAGTAGCACCAGTTCTCCTATTGCACCGAGTTCAAGTAGCATCAGCTCCATTGTCGCAACGAGTTCAATCAGCAGCAGCTCTAGTGTCTCATCGAATTCAAGTAGCAGTAGCCCTCTCGTTGCCCTGATCTCAGGTAGCAGCATTGCCATTGTTACACTGAGTAGCAGCAGCTCCGCCATATCATTCACGTCAAGTAGCAGCATATCTATTGTTGTACTGAGTTCAAGTAGCAGAAGCTCCATTGTTGCACCAACCTCAAGTAGCAGCAGCTCCTTTGTTGAACTGATCTCTGGTAGCAGTAGCTTCACTGCCTCACTAACGTCTAGTAACAGCACTTCTAATGGCCCACTGTCTTCCTGTAGCAGTTGCTCCATTGTTCCACCAAGCTTAAGCAGCAGCAGCTCTAGTGTCCTACCAAGTTCAAGTAGCAGCAGCTCTCCTGTTTCACTAGCCCGAAATAGCAGCAGCTCCACTGTCTCACTAACGTCAAGTAGCAGCAGTAGTAGCTCTATTGTCGCACTAAATTCAAGCAGCAGCAGCTCTATTGTTGCACCGAGTTCAAGTAGCAACAGCTTTAGTTTTATACCAAGTTTAGGCAGCGGTAGCTTCATTGTTGCACCGAGTTCAAATACTAAAAGTTTTAGTGTCATACCAAGTTTAAGTAGCAGCAGCTCTCCTATCGCACTGAGTTCAAGTAGCAACAGTTTCATTGGTGCACCGAGTTCAATTAGCAGCAGCTCTACTTTCTCACTAACCTCAAGTAGCAGAAACTCTAATGTCGCACTGGGTTCAAGTGGCAGCAGCTCCATTGTTACACCAAGTTCAAATGGCGGCAGCTTTAGTGATTCATCAAGTTTAAATAGCAGCAGCCCTCCTGTTGCACTAAATCCAAGTAGCAGCAGTTCCATCGTTGCACTGGGTTTGAGTAGCAGCAGTTCCTCTGTCTCACTGACGTCAAGGAGCAGCAGCTCTATAGTCGCAACAAGTTTAATTAGCAACAGCTCTAATGTTTCATTAAGTTCAGATAGAAGCAGCCCTCATATTGTTTTGATTCCAAGTATCAGCAAATCCATTGTTAAATTGAGCTCAAGTAGCAGCAGGTCAACTGTCTCACAAACGTTAAGTAGCAGCAGCACCATTGTCATGGTGAGTTCAAATAGTAGCAGCTCCATTATTGTACTTAACTCAGGTAGCAGCAGCTCTAATGTGTTACCAGGTTCAAGCAACGGCAGCTCTCCTGTTGCACTGAAATCAAATGGCAGCAGCTCCACTGTCTCACTAACTTTAAGTAGCAGTAGCTCTATTGTCCCACTGAGTTCAAGTGGCAGCAGCTCCATTGTTGCACCGACTTCAACTAGCAGCAGCTTTAGTGCCTTACAAAGTTCAAGTAACAGCAGCTCTCCTATTGCAGTGATTTCAAGAAGCAGCACCTTCATTGTTGCACCGATTTCAAGTAGCAGCAGCTCCACTATCTCATTAACGTCAAATAGCAGCAGCTCTATAGGCACACTCTCTTCAAGTAGGAGCAGCTCACTTGTTGCAACGAGCTCAAGCGACAGCAAATCCAATTTCTTATCAGTTTTAAGTAGCAGCAGCCTTCCTGTTCTCCTGATTCCGCGTAGCAACTCCAATGTTGCACTAAGTTTGAGTAGCCGCAGCTCCTCTGTCTCACTAACGTCAAGTAGCAGCAGCCTTACTCTCTTACTAATATCAAGCAGCAGCAGCAGCAGCTCCATAGTTCCTGTGAGTTCCAATGGCAGCAGCTCCATCGCTGCTTCAAGTTCAGGTAGTAGGAGCTCTAGTGTCATGTCATCATCAAGTAGCAGTGGCCCTCCTATTCTCCTGATTCCAAGTACCAGTAGCTCCATTGTTAAATTGAGCTTAAATCGCATCAGCTCCACCGTCTTAATAACGTCAAGTAGTAGTAGCTCTATCGTCACAACGAGTTCAATTAGCAGCAGCTCCATTCCTGCACCGAGCTCAAATAGCAGCAGCTCTAGTGTCTTCCCAAGTTCAAGTAGCAGCAGATCCATTGTTGCACTTAGTTCAAGTAGCAGCAGCTCTACAATCTCACTAACGTCAAAGAGCAGCAGCTCTATTGCCACACTAATTTCAAGTAGCAGGAGCTTTCCTGTTGCACTGGGTTCAATTATCAGCAGTTTCATCGTCGCACCGAGCTCGATAAGCAGCAGCTCCGATGCCTCTCAAAGCTCACGCAGCAGCAGCCCTCTTGTTACCCTGATTTCAAATACAAACAGTTCCATTGCTTCAATGAGTTCAAGTACCAGCGCTAGCAGCCTTACTGTCTCACTAATATTAAGTAGCAGCAGCTCTATAGTAACAATAAGTACCAGCAGCTCCATAGTTGCACCGAGTTCAAGTAGCAGCAGCTCTAAAGTCTCACTTACTTCAAGTGGCAGCAGCTCCATCGTCGCACTAAGTTCAAATGGCAGTAGCTCCACTGTAGCACCAAGCTCAAGTAGCAGCAGCTCTAGTGTCTTACCAAGTTCAGGTAGCAGCAGGTCCACTGTCTCACTATCGTTACGTAACATCAACTCTTCCGTTGCACTAAGTTTGACTAGCAGCAGCTCCACTGTCTCACTAACGTTAAGTAGCAGTAGCTCTAGAGTCGAACTGAGTTCAAGTAGCAGCAGCTCTATCATTGCACTGAGTTTAATTAGCAGCAGCTCTAGTGTCATACCAAGTTCAAGTAGCAGTAATTCCTCTATTATACTGAGTTCACGTAACAGCAGTTTTATTGTTGCAACGAGTTCAAGTAACAGCAACTCTACTGTCTCGCTAACTACAGGTAGCAGCAGCTTTAATATCGCACTGAGTTCGAGTAGCAGAAGCTCCATTGTTCGACCAAGCATAAGTAACAGTACCTTTAGTGTCTTGCCAACTTCAAGTAGCAGCTCTCCTGTTGCGCCAAGTTCAAGTGGCAGCGGCTTTAGTGTTTCATCAAGTGTAGATAGCAGCAGCCCTCTTGTTGCCCTCAATTCAAGTAGCAGCAGCTCCATTGTTGCAATGGGTTCGAGTAGCAGTAGCTCCTCGGAATCACTAACATCAAGTACCAGCAGCTCTATTTTTGCACCAATTTCAATTAACACGAGCTCCAGTGTCTCATTAAGCTCAAATAGCAGCAGCCCTCCTGTTATCCTGATTCCAAGTACTAGCAGCTCCATTCTTGAGTTAAGCTCAAGTAGCAGCAGGTCCACTGTTTCAATAACGTCAAGTAACAGCAGCTCTATTGTCACGCTTAGTTCAAGTAGCAACAGCTCTATTATCATGCTGAGTTCAAGTAGCAGCAGCTCGACCGTCTCACTAAGATCAAGTAGTAGCAGCTCTAGTATCATACCAAGCTCAAATAGCATCAGCTCTCCTGTTGTAATACGTTTAGTTAGCAGCCTACTTTTTGCCCTGATTTCAAAAAGCACCACATTTATTGTTGCACTAAGTTCGAGTACCAGCAGCCTCACTCTCTCACTAACATCAATTGGCAGCAGCTCTATAGTCGCACCAACATCTCCTGTTGCACTAAGTTTAAGTAGCAGCAGCCTTACTGTCTCACTAACATCAAATGGCAGCAGCTCTATAGTCGCACTAACTTCCAGTAACAGCAACTCCACTGTCCCCCCAACTTCAAGTAGGAGTAGCTTTATTTTCGCACCGACTTCAAGTAGCAGCAGCTCTAGTGACTTACTAAAATCAAGCATCAACAGCTCTCTTATTGCACCGAGTTCAAAAAGCAGAGGCGTCACTGTCTCGCTAACGTCAAGCAGAAGCAGCTCTATTGTCGCACTAATATCAAGCAGCAGCAGCTCTAGTGTCATACCAAGCTCAACCACCAGCAGCTCTCCCGTTGCACTTAGTTCAAGTAGCAGCAGTTTCATTGTTGAACCGAGTTCACGTAGCAGTGGCTCTACTGTCTCACTAAATTCAAGTAGTAGCAGCTCTAGTGTCTTAGCAAGTTCAAGTAGCAGCGGCTTAATTGTTGAACCGGGGTCAAATGGCAGCACCTTTACTTTATCATTGACTACCTCTACTGTCGCACTGAATTTAAGTGGCAGCAGCTCCAGTATCTCACTAATATCAAGCAACAGCAGCTCTAGTGTCATACCAAGTTCAAGTAGCGGCAGCTCTCACGTTGCACTGAGTTTAAGTAGCAGCAGTTTCATTGTTGCACCGAGTTCAAGTCGCAGCAGCTCTACTGTCTCACTAATATCAAGCAGCAGCGGCTCTAGTCTCACACCAAATTCAAGTAGCAGCAGCTCTCCCAGTGCACTAAGTTTAAGTAGCAGCAGTCCTACTGTTGCACCGAGTTCAAGTAGTAGCAGCTCTACTGTCTCACTAACTTCAAGTAGTAGCAGCTCTAGTGTCTTGAAAAGTTTAATAAGCGGTAGCTTTATTCTTGCACCGAGGTCAAGTGACAAGACTTTTAGTTTATCATTGAGCAGCTCTACGGTCGAACTGAGTTTAAGTAGCAGCCGCTCCACTGTCTCACTAATATCAAGCAGTAGTAGCTCTAGTGTCATACCAAGTTCAAGTAGCAGTAGCTCTTACGTTGCACTGGGTTTAAGTAGTAGGAGTTTCACTGTGGCACCGAGTTCAAGTAGCAGCAGTTCTGATGTCTCACTAACTTCAAGTAGTAGCAGCTTTATTGTCTTGGAGAGTTCAAGTAGCAGCGGCTTTATTTTTGTACCGATGTCAAGTGGCAGCACCTTTAGTGTATCATTGAGTAGCTCTACTGTCGCACTGAGTTTAAGTCGCAGCAGCTCCACTGTCTCACTAATATCAAACAGCAGCAGCTCTAGTATCACACCAAGTTCAAGTAGCAGCAGCTCACCCGTTGCACACAGTTCAAGTAGCAGCAGTTTCATTATTGCACCGACTTCAAGTAGCAGCAGCTCTACTGTCTCACTAACTTCAAGTAGTAGCAGCTCTACTGTCTTAGAAATTTCAAGTAGCAGCGGCCTTACTGTTGTACCGAGGTCAAGTGGCAGGACCCTTAGTTTATCATTGAGTAGCTCTACCGTCGCACTGAGTTTAAGTCACAGCAGCTCCACTGTCTCACTAAAATCAAGCAGCAGCAGCTCTAGTGTCATATCAAGTTCAAGTAGCAGCAGCTCCACTTTCTCATTAGCTTTAAGTAATACCAGCTCTAGTGTCTTAGAAAGTTCAAGCAGTAGCGGCTTTGTTGTCGCACCGAGGTCAAGTGGCGGCACCATTAGTTTATCATTGAGTAGCTCTACTATCGCACTGAGTTTAAGTCAAAGCAGCTCCACTGACTCACTAATATCAAGGAGCAGCAGCTCTAGTATCTTACCACGTTCAAGTAGAAGCAGCTCTCCTGTTGCACTGAGTTCAAGTAGCAGCAGTTTCACTGTTGCACGGAGTTCACCTGGCAACAGCTCCACTGTCTCACCAATATCACGCAGCAGCAGTTCTAGTGTCATACCAAGTTCAAGTAGCAGCAGCTCTACTTTCTCACTAACTTCACGTAATACCAGCTCTAGTGTCTTAGAAAGTTCAAGTAGCAGCGGCGTTGTTGTTGCACCGAGGTCAAGTGGCGGCACCTTTAGTTTATCATTGAGTAGCTCTACTGTCGCACTGAGTTTAAGTCAAAGCAGCTCCACTGACTCACTAATATCAAGGAGCAGCAGCTCTAGTATCCTACCACGTTCAAGTAGAAGCAGCTCTCCCGTTGCACTGAGTTTAAGTAGCAGCAGTTTCACTGTTGCACGGAGTTCAAGTGGCAGCAGCTCCACTGTCTCACCAATATCAAGCAGCAGCAGTTCTAGTGTCATAACAAGTTCAAGTAGCAGCAGCTCTCCCGTTGGACTGAGCTCAAGTAGCAGCAGTTTCATTGTTACACCGAGTTCAAGTGGCAGCAGCTCTGCTGTCTTACTAA